AGAATTTTTGCATCTATATTCATGAGAGATATTGGTCTGTAATTTTCTTTTTTTGTGATGTTTTTGCCTGGTTTTGGTATCAGTGTTATGCTGGCTTCATAGAATGAATTTGGAAGTGTTGCTTCCTTTTCTATGCTCTGAAATAGCTTGAGGGACCCTTGTTTTTTTATACTTTTAAGTAATTGTACATATAATTTACAAGGATAAGGATAAAGGGATTGTGAAAACATCTTAAGTAGAAATTTTATTAAGAATTTAAACATAGGAAAATCCAAAGTTTTATTCCATATTTCCTGGTTTTGAAGGTGTATATACCCCAGATGGGCAAAGTCCTTTCAATACAACTAACTTCATCTTCTGAACCTGGGATGTATCAGATTTCAAATACATCTCTAACAGATTGTAACTTATCTTTACTTCTGGTTCTTTTTGTGCTTGCACTGTCATGACAATTCTTTCGAAAACTTTGAAGGCTCATAATTTTGTTGAAGGAAGGACTCTCTTCTTTGCTCCATAATTGCAAAAACGTTTATTTTTAAATTATAAACACTAATTAGAATGGTCAGTTCAATGAATTTTATTAATTTTACATCATTTATTTCTTTCTAATCACCTTTATATACACACCTGCCAGCATCATTTGTTCATTCACAAACTTTATTAAGTAAATTTTGATGCATAGACATCATAATAAGAAACGAATACTGTCCACATTGTTTTAGTAAAATGGTATGGCCCAGCTTCTTATCACACAGTATTTCAGGATGAAGTCCTTCCTGTTATCTGGATGAGAATACCATATATACTTTTCATCTTTAGAAATATAACATTCAGTCATCGATTCTTGAGTTAGAGAAAATTTGTCTAGGAAATTCATCTAAGATATCATCATCTCTCACTGTCTTAAGATTTTGCTTATGCAGTCAATTTCACCATCTTCATTAGCATCTAAAGCCTTTCTGTGGTCATCTTCTGATTCATTCAATAATTGTGAATTGATGTTTTTCTTCTATTTGCTGTTATGAGCAAAAAGTGAAATATTCTGAGTTCTCAGCTATGTTCAATGAAAGCTAAACAAGGAGGGTACCTCTAAAGTGCTTTTATATCATCTCGAAAGATAATGCAACACTTTGGGTGAAGCAATAAGAAAACAGTGGATGAGGATGGTGTGTGTGTGTGTGTGTATTTTACAGAATCCTTTTATAAGAGTCCAGTTGACCTATATAATATTAGGTCAGGATAGGGAAGACAGAATGAGTTTTATTCTATAAAAATGTAATTTCATTTTCACTTTTTCTTTGGAAGATCTTTAAGGAAAAAGTCATGAAATATCAAACCTTACAAATCAACCCTCAAAAAAGCACCTCAGAAATTAAAATTGGACTCTCATGGTATAGTAAGGGTTAAAATGTGCTGTCCAGAACTGAAGAGAACCCTCCACAATCTGGCCAGAGTGAAAAAGGGCAGGATTATTATCTGCATCTTTGTGGATGCCAGGCTGTTACCAGTGTAGACTAAGACCTCAATAGATTGTTAGGGAAGCCTCACTACGCTGTTGACTCACTGTGAACTAACCTCTCCACTTATTTTCACTTGTCCTTATATCAAACTTAGTCAACCCATATAGTAGTTTTGAATAGTTGGCTTTTCAGCTCTACGTGTAAGACTTAATATTTATTCCTCTTGTATTTCATTTTGTTAGATTTATCCATTATTCCAACCTGTCATTTTTAGATCCAGATTTATTGTAAACACATTTGCTATTCTTCCTAGCTTTACAGAATCCATGGATTCAGCCGTCATGATATCAGTGTTCTTTTCTAGGTCGTTAATAAAAATATTGAACAAGATAGAGCCCTGTGAAACAGCACTCCTTTCACACCCACACCAGTCAGTTAATTAGCATCTGTGGGTCTTATTGTTTAACCAGTTACACATCCAGATTTACTGACATTTAGATCATTTTTTTCCCTTTTTAGTCGTAGATATATATATATATACACATAATATGTATATTTACATATATAATTTATATAAAATTTTATATATTTTATATAATATACATTTTTATATAGTTATGCATGTTTATACAATATATATGAAATTTTATATAATTATATATATATAATTTCCCTGACCTACCTATCATTGTAGAATTCCTATTCAGAAAGAAAGTTGTTGAATGATCTAATGGACACTCAATATACCATAGAACATTAAAGCTGAGAGAGGGACTTTAGAGACCATATAATTCAATTTCCTCATTTTCTTTCAATCAGGAAACTGAAGTAAGGAGAAATTAAGTAACTTTCCCAAAGTAGCGTAGCTAGTTAATAGCAGAACTGATAGACTTTCTTGAATGGTTTTTGAAAAGATATATAAATGTAGCCTGGTATTGATGCTCTTACCCATGTTTTCTATGTTCATGAAAACAGCTTTTAATTTATATCTCATACTGTGCCAGCAGAAAGTATCCAAGCATTTCAAGAAAGAAAGGCCAGTTTAAAATTAATCATCATGATAATCAAAATCATTTATTTAAAAAAATCAATCATGAATTTACTTAACATATATGCGTCAAGTGCCTACTGTGTGTTCCAAGCATTGTATTTGGTACTTGTAAGTACAAAATAAAAGTGTTTATAAAAATATTGGGTTTTTACAGTAATCAAAATAGGAAAAAAATTTGTATAGTATTAAATGAAATCGATTGAATTTGAATTGAGTAATTATGATATCTTAAGCACGTTTATGTCCCTGGGTGATGTAAATGGTTACCACACTGGCTGCTAATGGAAAGTTGGAGGTTTGAGTCTACCCAGAGGTGCCTCTGAAGAAAAGCCTGACAATTTACTTCCATAAGATTGTTTTTGTTATTGTTAGGTGCCGTCCAGTTGATTTTGACTCATAGTGACCCCATGTGACAGAGTAGAACCACCCCATAGGGTTTTCTAGGCTATAATCTGTATGAGCAAATTGCCAGGTCTTTCTCTTCGATGCTGCTAGGTGGGTTCAAACCAGCAGCCTTTCAGTTAGCAGCTGAGTGCTCAACCATTGCACCACCAGGGCTCCTTCTGTTAAGATTATAAAACCAAACCTATTGCCATCAAGTCTTCCAACTCATAGAGACCCTATAGGACAGAGTAGATCTGCCCCATAGGGTTTCAAGGCTCTAATCTATATACAGAAGCAGACTGCCACATCTTTCTCCCACGGAGCAGCTGGTAGGTTCGAACCACCAACCTTTTTTTTTGGTTAGCAGCCGAGTGCTTAATCAACCACTGCACCACCAGGGCTTCTATTAAGATTATAGCCATTGAAAACCCTAGGGATGAGAAAATTGCAGAACAGAACTCAAATTCTTTAAAACTCCAGATTTACTGGACCAGATGAGACTAGAGGACTCCCTGAGATTATCGTCCTGTTAATCTCAGGGATTATCAGGTTAAACCTTGAACCAAAACTATCCCATGAGGTTACCTTTTAGCGAAATAACAGGTTGGCACACAAAGGATATTACCTGTGAGCATGGTGCTCAATTAAAAAACCATCTGTATGAGACCAAAAGGTCAATTATCACTCTAAAGCAAAGATGAGAAGATAAAAGGGAAGGGAAACTAGAGTACTGGAAACAGAACAACCAGAATGCAATTAAAGAGAATGTTGACACAGTGTGAAAAATGTAACTAATGTCGCTGAACAATTGGTGTAGCGTTAAATGGGAACCAATTTGCTGTGTAAACTTTCACCAAAAACACAATAAAATATTGTTTTAAAACTCCATGGAGCACAGTTCTACTCTAACACACATGGGGTCGCCATGAGTTGGAATGACTCAACGGCAATGTTTTTTTTTTTTCTAGTGCCAAACAATTTACAGAATGGTTTCACACACATTATCTCACTTAATTCTGATAATAATCAAATGAAATAGGTTCTTTCCAAAATTTACGCAAGGGTTAACTAGACCCCAGGGAATTTAAACGATTAGTTCAAACTCAACAGCTAATTAGTGGCAAAGCAGATCCATGGACTCCAAGTCCTATGCTTTTTTCTGCTATAATATTGTTGGCCCTGAGTAAATGTGATCGTTGGAATCCCTGGGTGGTACAAACAGTTAAGCGCCTGACTACTAGCCAGAAGGTTGGCAGTTCAAACCCATCCAGAGAAACCTAGAAGATAGGCCTGGTAATCTACTTTTAAAAGGTCACAACCTGGAAAATCCTATGCAGCAGTTCTAGGCTGTACACATGGGGCTGCCGTGGAGTAGGAATCAACTCCTTGGCAACTAATGACAACAAATGTGAACATAGCTTTAGTAAACTGCTTTTTTAAAGTTACCCTCTTACACTTTGTCATTTTATGTGTTTTTCTACTGAGATTTTAATCCTAATTTGAGCTATGAAGAATTGGTTATATACCATTGTTGTTATTATTTTTAGTTGCCATTGAGTCAATTCTGACTCATGGTGACTTCATGGGTGCATAGCCAGTGGAATTTATGCCAAATTGCCAAACAGTTAGAAATAAAGAAACATGATTTAGAATCAAGAATATTAAACTTCTCAACTATTTGTATATTCCTGGGTTGTCCTGAAAAGTCTGGTGTTGAAATAAATTCTTAGAAATATTTGAATTTACCATCTTAATCTGGAAAATGAATACAACCAATCTATAAATTTATCATAATTTTAATGAGAAACTTAGTATAAAGCAATGACTTCTTTTTTAGATGGAAATTGTACATTAAATTTTTTGGTTTTGGGAAAATAGGGAATCGAAAAAATTGGACCTGACAATTGACAGATCTGTTTGGTTTTCTGACCTTCTATAACTTACTGATGGAAAAAAAAATTAATTTTAAGGTATATACAAGATTTAAATATAAACTTTTTTTGCAGGTTATTTGCTAATTTAGTGCATTTCTTTAAAGGATTAGGCTACTTTTGGCTTAAACACCATCAGATCATGTATTAGGAAAGAGACTTCTGTTTTATACATAAAACTTAATTTCTATTGCCTGTATGATAAGTTGTGATGAGTACTTGAATCCTCCATCCCCAAATAAGAGTTTTTCACTTAGAAAAGTTTTCATATGGTTAAATAATGTATCTTTGCACTTTATGTTTAGTTTCAAATAGGACAATATCCAAAGAAGTAGAATTTGGAATGTGCACTGTTACATGTGGTAAGTAGCATACAGCAGATGAATAAACCATATTGTATTTTTGGTGGGAGGGAAGGTAAAAACAGTGTGGCAATGTTTTATTTGTAATTTTGTGTGCTCTCATTCATCCCTCATTGATTTCTATTTCTAATAACAATAAGTTACACGTACAACTCAAGCTAATTGTCTTTTAAAAGGTAAGATGTTTTCAGTTCCTAACCTGTAAATCTTATTTTAAGCCAGCTCCCTATACTTTTTTTTGGCACATAAACTGCCTTCACCAAAGTAAAATTTTCTCTATCTCACAGATGTTCAGAAGATGAAAGATCTTCCGATGCACCTCACAGATGTCTTCCCACATACTGTGTTGGCAAATCTATCAAGAAATTTACTTATTTATAATCATCTTTTCTAAATTCTACATTTCTCCAGTTTGTATATCATGTCTTAGAGAAAAAGGCTATTGGTTTTGTGGGGAAGATGATGCTCAAAGACCATGACTTATTTTGAACATTCCATGGATTGGACATAAAATCTCTTGTATGAGAGTGGGATTAAGGCTACAAATGCTCTAATAGATCAGTGCTTCTCAAATTTCAGTGTGCATTTTCAGTGCCTGCAGACTTGTTAAAACACGGATTGCTGGGCCCATCCAAGAAGAATCGTATATAACCAATTCTTCTAATTCGGTAGGTCTGGGGTTGCCATGAGTAGGTGTCAACTCAACTGCAACTGGTTTGGTTTGGTTTGGCTGGGGAAGGGTCTAAGAATGTGCATTTCTAACAAGTTCACAGGTGAGGTTGATGTTGCTAGTTAGGGGACCATCCTTAGGGAACCACTGCTATAGACTAGAGTCCTGAGAGGACAATAGATAATTCACAATTAAGTTTATCCAAAATAGAATCAGCCCTCCTGTCAGTGGGTTACTTGCTACACATTTGGCAACTGATGAAAGAAATGGAAAAAGACAGAAATGGAAGGAGAGGAGGACAATAACCAGAGGGGAGACAGAAAAATCCATGCAGACCCTAGATCAGAATGAATTTTTTGTTTTTGTTAAAAATTATACCTGAATTGTTTTTATTTCAGATAGTCTTAAACCCATTTTTACCTTAACTTCTTAGCAGTCTTAGTGGGTCTAAGTCACAAAATGGAGAGCAATCCATGTAATACACTTGTGATATTCTTTTCACAATTTATGTTTTTCTTTGACTGTTTGCTTACTTTCAGCAAGTAGAGAATGATTATTTTTATGACCAAACCCACCCGTTGCCGGCAAGTCGATTCTGACTCATAGCTACCCTATAGTGCAGAGTAGAACTGCCCCATAGGGTTTCCAGGGAGAGGCTAGTAGATTAGAACTGCCAACCTTCTGGTTAGCAGCTGAGCTCTTAACCACTTCGCCATCAGGGCTCCATTTTTATGACAGTTCTACTAATTGATGTTGTACCACTATTATTTGAAGAAGTGTTTTATAAATTGTATATTTGTTCATTTAACAAATGATTTTTTTTTTAAGTGCCAATTGTGTGGCATAGTGGTTAAAGTGCTAGACGGCTAACTGCAAGGTTGGGGGTTCAAAACCACTAGTGGCTCCATGGGAGAAAAATGCGGCAGTCTGCTTCCAAAAGATTTACAGCTTTGGAAACCCTATGAGGTTGCTATGAGTCAGAATCAACTTGATGGCAGTGGGTTTTTTTAAAAATATATCTGGCACTGTTACAGGTGTTGGGGATAGAGCAGTGAACAAAGTAGATGACACTCACTACCTTCAGGGAATATATATTTTAATAGGTCTGGACAGATGAACAGTATGCAAAATGTGATATATCAGATAATGATAAGTTCTAAGGAGAAAAATGAGAAAAGGCAATATTTCATATCTAAAATATAAAAACCTTTTAAATTTCAAACATTATCTACCTACTTAGAAGGAAAAAAAAGCCTTAGTGAAAATTTTATTTAACTCCCAAAACAATATTTTAACAGTCACAAAGTTTTCTTTTCCTAGAATACCCAGGCAGATTTTTAAGTGTTACTTGGACCTACAGAAAATGTCACACCTACACACATCATCTCAATGAACTGTATTTGGCTAAATAAATAAATACATAAAATACCTGCTTGGAAAATATTTATGCATTTTAGAGTAAGGCTGTGTTCTAGACAGGAACATTTTATAAATTCAAGTGGAACCATACTGCCGCTATTCTTAGCTGCCTCTTTTAATCAAAAGAGATCTTTCCTCTTCTTTTTATTTCATATGGAGTCCTCTCCCTTGCTACTCAAAATGTGGTCCACAGACCAGCAGTGTCAACCTGGGAGTTTGCTAGAAATGCAGAATCTCAGGACCTAGTCCAGACCTGGAGCCCCTGGGTGGTGCAAAAGGTTAACTGGCTTGGCTGCTAACCGAAAGGTTGGTGGTTCAAGTCTACAACCAAATCCATTGCCGTAGAGTCGATTCCAGCTCATAGCAGCCCTATAGGACAGAGTAGAACTGCCCCATAGGTTTCCAAGGAACGGCTGGTAGATTCGAACTGCCGACCTTTTGGTTAGCAGCCAAGTTCTTTAATCACTGTGCCACCAGGGCTCCCAAGTCTACCCCAGAGGTGGAAAAAAATCAGCCACTGAAAACCCTATGGAGCACATTTCTACTCTGAGACACATGAGGTTGCACCATGAGTTGGAAATGATTCAGTACCACCTTTTTTTTTTTTTTTTTAAAGAAAACCCCAGACCTACTGAATCAGAATTTGCATTTTAGTAAGATCCCCAGGTAATTCGCATGCACTTTGAAGTTCGAGAAGCATGGCTGTAAGCCACCTCCAGCCTTCAACTTTCCCTTGCCCTTGAGAATGGATTTTATGATTAATATCTGGTGGGGAATGAAAGAGGAAATCTGGTAGACAAGGAAATCAAGATGGACTCTTCTTGTGACCACTGCCTTACTATAGGTCATTTTATCACAGGACATGGCTCAGCATGTCGCCGATCCAGCATTTTATCATCTCTCAATTATGATGGTGAAAGAAAGGCAAGCTCAGTGGAGCTCTGGGATCAGTTGGTAAAGACTTGATCTCTTGTTACAAAAAAGTACGGCATTTCTAAAGAGAGTATTGGAAATGGAAATTTGGCCATAAATAGATTGTCCTGTCTCTATTTACTAATCTGTATATAAAAAAGCATCATTTATGGTAAAATGTGATTTTGGAATTTCATCCAGAAGCTTCACCTCTCCCCCCACCCCCCAAAAATTTGGGAAATACTGTATACTATTTTATTTCATCAAATCTAAGACTCTATTAGATGTAAGAAGCACATTTTATGTACCTCTAAGGAGGAAAAATACTGCCAGTTAATCTATGGCATGCCATCAATTATAATACTCATTCTAATTTCAGAGGTGTGAAAATTTAAAACGTTTGCACCTTAGCTCAATGAAAATTTACACCCAATGGCACATTAATTTACTAGCATGGTAAAACTTTTCTAAAATCCTGTAGTAAAGGGGTCTGTTTAATTTTATTCACCATAAAATGTGTATGATTTTGGAATCCAGATGTGTGTGATCATGGAATCCTTTTCTTGTGGTAACAACTAGTGAGCTTAGTGTTTGGTGTAACTCACTTTGGGAAAAGCTACTTCATGAAATAATTCAAAATGAGGGTCCTAAAAAAATTCTAAATGTTATCATCCTGATTTTAGGAATTTAATTTCTGAAATCAAGAGGGAAATCTCAAAAAAAGAGTTTACTAGATGGAAAAGAAACCCTGGAATTAGTTTTTCTTAACATTTGCTGATTTCTTTTACCAAAGGTGTTGGTATTAGAGAAGTTATATTAACAAATGGATGCCCGGGAGGTGAATCCAAGTGTCTTGTGCGGGTGGAAGAATGCCGTGGACCAGTAGATTGTGGCTGTGAGTTGTACTCTGTATTGGAGGGAGGCTGAGGGGAAGGGTTTACCCTGGGGAAATATCCTTTACCTTACCTGAGGGTGCCACTGAGTGGAAGGAGACGATTGTTGTTATCGTGAAAGAAAATCATAATAAAATTTAAGATTCTGTTTCTTCTCTAAACAATTATAGCTCTGAGTAACTTTCTGCTTTTGCCTTATATTTTTTAGCAACGTCTAAAATTTAACATCTATTCTGTATAATATATCAGGGTCTGTGATTGAGGCAGTCCTGTAGTGAAATGCTTTCGCACACTCAGGCCATAACATTATGTCAGTGATTAGTAAGCCTTAAATTGAGACCTTTGAGAGCTGTTCTATATCAAATTATGTGTTTTAGTCATCTGGTGCTGCTATAACAGAAATACCACGGGTAGATGACTTCAACAAAGAGATACTTATTCTCTTACAGTCTAGGAGGCTAGAAGTCTGAATTCAGGGTGCTAACTCCAGGGGAAGGCTTTCTCTGTTGGCTCTGGGGGAAGGTCCTTGTCATCAATCTCCCCAGTCAACGAGCTTCTCAGTGCAGGGACCCTGGGTCCAAAGGATGCGCTATTCTCCTGGCTCTTTTTTCTTGGTGGTATGAGGTCCCCACGACTCTGCTTGCTTCTGTTTTATATCTCAAAAGAGGTTGGCTTAAGACACAGTCTAATCTTGTAGATTGAGTCCTGCTTCACTAACATAATTGCCTCTAATCTCATCTCATCACATCATAGAGGTAGGATTTACAACACACAGGAAAACCACATCAGGTGACAAAATGGTGGACAATCACACAATACTGGGAATCACGACCTAGCCAAGTTGGCAGATACTTTGGGGGGCACAATTCAATCCCTGACATTATGCTTCTCTGATATTTCAATATCTCTCACGGGGGACTCTAAACAGTAAATTGGAAGCCACTAGTAGGTCCCAGGGGTGTCCCTTGGTGGTGCAAATGATTAAGCGCTCAACTACTAGCTGAAAGGCTGGCTGTTAAAACCCGCCCAGAGGCTCCTTTGAAGAAAGGCCTGGTGATCTGCTTCTGAAAAATCAGCCATTGAAAACCCTATGAACCGTGGTTCTATTCTGCAACACATGGGGTCTCCATGAGTTAGAGTGGACTTGATGACAACTGGCTTGGTTTTTAGTAGGTCCTAAAGTTTAATAGATCACCAGGTTGCTTGTCCTTGCTATGTCTCTTCTCCGCGATTTATTCTTCAGGAAGAGCAGGCAGCCGTGGTGTCTCCTCACCTGCTTCTTTTGTGACTTTATCTTTGCATTTGTTACTTCTCTCTGATCTTCTATATTCCCAATGATAAGGTTGATAATTTCCAGCATATAATTAATCTTTAAAATTGAAAGTGGCTTTTAAAAGTAGTATTTTGTATAAAGCAATTTATAATGCCCAGTGTTGTTTATGTATTTAATTTTACTTTTTTTCAGGGGGTAAACCACTTTCAGAAAGTCTTGAAAGTGTTAGGCTGGCATGTATTCATATATCTCCTGTAAATCGTTTCAAATATATGTGGAGACTTCTAAGGCCAGATCAAGTGAGTAATGAATATATATAAATTGATCCTTTCTAGTGAGTGATAAAATTTATTGTATCTCAGTTCTAATGACTCTCAGAAAACTTTTTTTAAAAAGCAGTTTGTAAAAATGACATCAAAATAATGCAACATTATTATCAACAGGATTTTAAATTTTTCATTATTTGGTGGGACTAAGACTTTACATATGTCTTAAGGTCAACTGTAATAAGAACTTAAAAACATCCATTTTATATGAAGTGTTCTGTTTTGGAAGCAAGGTTTTCATTGGTTTATATAGGAATTGTATAATTAATTGAGGGCTTTTTAAGTGCCAAGCCTACATCAAACACTATAATTTCTTTTAATCCACATAAAAATCCTATGAGATAGTTTCTGTCATTATACCTATTTTACAGATAAATAACTGAGGTGCAGAAGTTAACTTGTCCACCATCCACACAGGCAGGAAGTGGTAGGGTTAGGATTTCATGTCTGGCTTTTCTGACTCCAAAATCCATGTGCACAGTTGATTACTAGAGTAAGAGAGAAAGTTACTCTTCTCCTCTTATGAGAAATAATTTTTCTGATCTTAACTGTGCATGAAGAATGTTGATACTTTGCTATTATCTTTTTCTTTTTAAATAGCAAGCTATTATACTTGGAAATGATTCAGCAATCCTGGAAGTACACAGGGATAGTCACCCCCTGGCTTTAGAGTGTAACACCTTGGATAATAATGAAATCATTGCATCTGTTAGATTCACAGTCTATACAGCAGGTGGTAAGTGCCCAACATGTTTTAATTTGCTTATATCTTGAACTGTAAAGAACATCAGAATGTCCTGGAGAGCTTATTAAAACACAGATCACTGACCCCACACCCCGAGATTCTGATTCTATAGGTCTGGGGTTGGAAGCAGTAGTGGTTCAGTGGTACAACTCTGCCTTCTACGTGGGGAACGTGGGTTCCATTCCCAGCCAGTGTACCTCATGCCCAGCTACTACCTGCCTGTCAGTGGAGGCTGGCATGTTGCTATGATGCTAAACAGGTTTCAGTGGAGCTTCCAGACTAAGACAGACTATGAAGAAAGGCCTGGTGATCTACATCCTAAAATCAGTCAGTGAAAACCCTATGGATCACAATGGTCCAATCCCCAACCAATCATGGGGATGGTGCAACATTTCGTTCCTTGTGCACGTGGTCGCTATAAGTTGGGGCTGACTTGCTGACAGCTAACAACAAGGTCTGGGGTGGGCGCAGCACAAAAATTTGCATCTCTAGCAAGTTTCCAGGTGATGCTGGTGTCCTGATCCAGGGAATCACACTCGGAGAACCACTGGTTTATATCGTTTAGACCTCTTTACAAGCTACTGCTTAATTTCCATTTCACAAAGTAGAATCAGACGTGCCTCACTTCAGGAAACTGATGTATTCCTAAAGTATCTCCAAAGAGCAGTCGTCTAACTTGAATTAATTGTTGCTTTTACTTCCATCATAAAATTGAAAATGGAAAAATGAACTCATGGATGTTTACTAAAATATTGGTACAGTAAAATAAATTTAAGAAATATGAAATCAGAACACATCTTAAAAATTATTTATTTGAAGAAAATACTTTTGATAAAGCAATAATACAGTCCTTGATATTTGTCACAAAAGAGAAATCTTATCCTGAACGTAATTTTACATACTAGAAACTGTTTCCCTTATGAAATGGATCCATGTGCACATTCTTTCAATTTAATCTATGATGTCTTCTATATTCAGGTAATTATTTCATGTGATTCAGTTGCTCTTAATCATTTTTATTGTTGTTGTCTTAATTGTGGTTGGGAGTGGGGGCTTTGGTCATAAGTTCAGGAGCCTCTTGCCGGAAAAAAGCCCACATATACCTGTTAAATGTAATACTGAGGGAGCATGTGGATCTCTTGAAGACATTTCTGAACTCCTAATAAAGAGTTTTTGGTGGAGTCTAGAGATACCACACAAAATAACCCTTGATTGAAAGAAAAACAAACAACAACAAAAAAAAAAAAAGCTAAAGTTTTTTAGGGGATGATTTTAAAAAATAAACTACTATTTTAACTTTCTTTGATGTGTTTATCGTCTTTAAAAAAAAAAATCTTCCTGGTGAAAGCTAATAATCTTGCTTCTATGTTGGGATATCATTCATCCTTAAAAGGTTAATTTCAGTAAATGCTATAAAAATCAAAATAGGACCAAAATATCATCAGACTCTAAAAACTACCCTTAGTTCATGCTATTAAAAGTGTCGGGGGCCATCCTCAGTCTTTGTCCCCTCCACTTGCTCCCCATTAGGACTGCTGTGGTAGGTGTCTAGTGGTCAGCTCCCCCTGAGATTAGAGGACAACATGCATTCTCTAGGGTGTAAGCTAAAGGCTGGAGCACAGACTCCAAAGTATCAGGCCTTAAATGACATGATGTTGGCTTCTCTGTCTTGTGGCCATCAAGGACTGGCAGGGTCGTTCGGCTGTCTCAACACACGCACTGGTTAAACAGCAAAGCATTTTCAGAAGAATACTTCTGTATCTATTAGTAGGAGAATTAATTTTTTTTAAAATGTGGAATACTACTCAGTAATAAAGGAAAAAAAAGCTAATGCATGCAACAAGGATGAGTCTCTAAAACATTATGCTGAGTAAAAAAGAAAAGCCGTACACAAACAGTACATTGTGTATGTTTCCATTCATATGACATTCTAGAGTAGGAAGAACTGAACTATGGTGGAAAAAAAAATCAGGACAGTAGTTGCCTTTGGAGAATGGTGAGGATTAACTGGAAAGGGGCTTGGAGGGAACTTCCTGGAGTAAAGCAATGTCCTATGTCTTGATACAGATTTGAATGATAACATAGACGTGCACGCATTTGCCAAAACCAACGCATTGCACTGGGCAAATCTGCTGCAAAAGACCTCTTTAAAGTATTGAAAAGCAAAGATGTCACCTTGAAGACCAAGGTGTGCCTGAGCCGAGCCAGGGTGTTTTCAGTCGCCTCATATGCATGTGAAAGCTGGACAATGAATAAGGAAAACCAAAGAATTGGCGCCTTTGAATTGTGGTGTTGGAGAAGAATATTGAATATACCATGGACTGCCAAAAGAACAAGTCTGTCTTGGAAGAAGTACGACCAGAATGCTCCTTAGAAGCAAAGATGGCGAGACTACGTCTCACATACTTTGGACATGTTGTCAGGAGGAATCAGTCCCTGGAAAAGGACGTCATGCTTGGTAAAGTGGAGGGTCAGCAAAAAAGAGGAAGACTCTCAACAAAATGGATTGACACTGCAACAGTGGGCTTAAGCGTAACAACGATTGTGAGGATAGTGCAGGACCAGACAGTGTTTCCTTCTGTTGTGCACAGGGTCAGTATGAGTCGGAACTGACTCGATGGCACCTAACAACAACAACAAGCAAATGTACATTAAGGTTTTTGTGCAATTCATTGTATGTACATTTTACCTCCAAATGGGAAATGGGACTATAAACAAATATTGAACTCTAATTGATGAGATACCTGCTGAAGTATTTTGGGGAAAGTATGCAGATGTGAGCAATTTATATTGAAATGCAGCAAAAAAATAAAATGGATTAACAAATGGATGAATAGATGAACAGTAAAATGTTAATGGTAGTATCTAGGCGGTGGCAATAGAAAATGTTCACTGAAAAATTCTTTTAACTTTTCTACATGTTTGATAACGGCATTTCAATCTTATGAAGCAAGTTTGCTAATAACTTCTTTCCACTGATTCTCTGTATATTTTTCTAGAGTTGATTTTCAAACTAGGTAAGTTTCCATCTAGATAGCTTTCCTTTTTTTTTTTTTTTTTTTTTTTTTTCCAGTAGTAATGACCATCAGGTGTGTGTTTTTTCCTCTAGAATTGCAGATGAGAAGATCCAGCCGACCAGACACTGACGCAGTCCTGGTTTTTGTGCTGACCATAGGAGTCATTATCTGTATATTTGTGATCTTTGTATTGATCTTCATAATTATAAACTGGTAGGTGCACAGCCAACCCCATTATGTCACCTTGGTTTATGTCCTCCTTGTCTTCCCGTCCCTCATCCAAAGCATAGCAAAGTGCATTTCATGATTCCTTCTGAATGGGTTTTGAAATTGTCCCATTCCCTTCATACCTCCTAGGGCTATCCTAGTTCAGGCTACCCCACCTCTTACATGGATTAAAAATAAATAAAAAATCTCATGCTTTGCTTCCCAGCCGTGAGAGAACTTTTAAATGCAATTTTTAAACTTTTACATACAAAAACAAACCCATTGCCATCATCACTTTTACATGGCAGTTGTAAAAATTTTTTTGTTAAATGAATATTTGTGTTGTCTAATTGTAATTCGAACAACTCTGAAACTTGGTTATTTTACCCTATTAATCCATTTACATCAGAATATGTATAATAACTGCACGAGTACTACATCCTGGGAAGTCTCATGCACCACAAATTAAAAATATATTGATAAAAAAATGGGATCTCTCTCTATAGAAAACATAAGTATAAATCTGTTTGGTTTTAGTTTTAACTTCACATGGTGGTTTTTTTTCTTTTTTTATTTCCAGGGCTGCAATCAAGGCCTTATGGGGGGCAAAAACCTCAACAACTGAGATACAGTCCGAGTTGAGTTCTATGAGATACAAAGATTCAACTTCTCTTGACCAATCACCAACAGAAATACCTGGACATGAAGAAGATAATTTAAGTGAATGGAATGAATGATATATGATAAAACAAAGGAGATTAGAGCATATCAGATTCATTATTATAAAAATAAAATATATACTTAACTACTTTCATATTTTTTGCCAGTGATTTACCACAGTGTGAAGGTAACTCAGTGTAAGGATGGGCAGTTTTAATCAGTGCATCTTTGTGGTAGAATTATCAAAAATTACTTTCAAATGGTTCTCAATATTTACCATTTTAGATAATGGGACATTCGTCTTGAGGTACGCACAAAAAAAGCTTTTACACATGTTTTTGGTCACTTCTAAGGTGATTTGCCTGATGTATGCTAAATAAGAAAATTAGAATATAGTAGAATCCTTGTATATTAGACTTTCTTCCCACTGGGAACACTGGATTGAACTTGTTAAACAAATTACACTTTAGAATCTCTGCAGGGCATGTGATATACAAAGCCTCACTTGTTAGACATTAAATAATAATGTTGTTAGGTGCCCTCAAGTCGGTTCTGACTCATAGCGACCCTATGTACAACAGAATGAAACACCGTCCAGCCCCGCACCATCCTCACAGTCATTGTATGCTTGAGCACACTGTTGCAGCCACCTATGTCAGTCCATCTCGTTGAGGGTCTTCCTCTTTTTTGCTGACCCTCGACTTTACCAAGCATGATGTCCTTCTCCAGTGACTGATCCCTCCTGATAACATGCCCAAAGTATGTGAGACGTAGTCTCGCCATCCTTGCTTCAAAGGAGCATTCTGGTTGTACTTCTTTCAAGACAGATTTGTTTGTTCTTCTGGCAGTCCATGGAATATTCAGTATTCTTCACCAACACCTTAATTCAAAGGCATTGATTCTTCTTCTGTCTTCCTTATTCATTGTCCAGCTTTCACATGCATATGAGGTGATTGAAAACACCATGGGTTGGGTCAGGTGCACCTTAGTCCTTAAAGTGACATCTTTACTTTCTAACATCTTTAGAGATCTTTTACAGCCAATTTGCCCAATGCACTGTGTTGTTTGATTTCTTGACTGCTGCTTCCATGGGCATTAACTGTGGATCCAAGTAGAATGAAAATCTTTACAAATACAATATTTTCTCCATTTAATCATGATGTTGCTTATTGGTCCAGTTGTGAGCGTTTTTCTTTTCTTTATGTTGAGATGTAATCCATACTGAAGGCTGTGGTCTTTGATCTTCATCAGTAAGTGCTTCAAGTCCTCTTCACTTTCAGCAAGCAAGGTTGTGTCATCTGCATATTGCAGGTTGTTAATGAGTCTTCCGCCAATCTTGATGCCACATTCTTCTTCATATAGTCCAGCTTCTAGGATTATTTGCTCAGCATACAGATTGAGTAAGTATGGTGAGAGGATACAACCCCGATACACACCTTTCCTGACTTTAAACCGTGCAGTATCTCCTTGTTCTGTTTGAACAACTGCTTCTTGATCTATGTGCAGGTTCCTCATGAGCACAATTAAGTGTTCTGGAATTCCCATTCTCCGCAATGTTATCCATAATTTGTTATGATCCACACAGTCAAATGCCTTTGCATAGTCAATTAAACACAGGCAAACATCTTTTTGGTAATCTCTACTTTTAGCCATGATCCATCTGACATCAACAATGATATTCCTTGTTCCACATCCTCCTCTGAATCCACCTTGAATTTCTGGCAGTTCCCTGTTGATATACCGCTGCAGCCGCTGTTGAATGATCTGCAGCAAAATTTTACTTGTGTGTGATACTAACGATACTGCTTGATAATTACCACATTCTGTTGGATCACCTTTATTTGGAATGGGTACAAATTTCTTGGCATAGATGAGTGAGCATTTCCAGCACTGCATCCATTTGTTGAAATACCTCAATTGGTAGTCCATCAATTCCTGGACCCCTGTTTTTCACCAGTGCTTTCAGTGCTGCTTGGACCTCTTCCTTCAACACTATCAGTTCTTGATCATATGCTACCTCCTGAAATGGTTGAATGCCTACCAATTCTTTTTGGTATAGCGACTGTGTATTCCTTCCATCTTCTTTTGATGCTTCCTGCGTCATTTAGTATTTTCCCTGTAGAATCCTTCAATATTCCAACTCGAGGCTTGAATTTTGTCTTCAGTTCTTTCAGCTTGAGAAATGCTGAGCCTACTGTGCTAGGCATTGAAAATGCACTTTGTGCAAAAAAAAAAAAAGATCCCTCTTCTCCTGGAATTTAACATTTACCCAAGGCACACACATTGCAATTAAACACAACTAGGATGACTACATTGAAGGAAACCTACAAGTTGCTGCAGAACCCTAGTAAGGGAATGGCATTTAAAGCGCTTAAAGCCTGAGTAGGAATTAGCCTGGTTAAAGGCAAAGACAGTCTAGGCAGAGGGAATAGCAGGTATCAAGATTCTGAATCAGGAAAGAACCTGACGCATCTTGAGAGAAGGCTAGTGGAGCTGGAATATAGAGAAAGGGAAAAAGAATGGTAGGAAATGAGGCTGGAAATGTCGGCAGGGGTAGGTGATCATGCAAAGTCTTGAAAATGATATAGAGTACATTGGACTTTGTCCCAAGTTCAAAGAGAAGGCATTAAAGTGTAGCAAACATAGGTGTGATATGATCAGATTCACATTTTAAAACCACTTTGGCTATTGTGCAGAATGTGGACTGGAAAGGTACAAGACAACCTACATGCAGGAATACCAGTTGTGAGGCTATTGCAGTAGTTGGGGAGTAGGGTGTTAGGATTGACTGGGGTAGTGGCAAGGGCAATTAGGAGAAGTGGAACTATTCAGCTATAGGAAGCAAAGTTGAGGAAAGTGTGAAGGAGCACTCCCTACCTGCAGGGCTGGAAGGGCAACGGTTTTGTACATTCAGATTTAGATATTTATGAGACATTCAAATGGAAATGTGGTAAGCCCTTGGAAATATGGGTCTGCAACTCAGGTGTCGATTAGAGATACAGATTTAAGAGATAAATTGTAGGCAAAAAGATGATATTGAAGGTAAGCCAAAAGAGATGGGGTGGAGAGAGCTGGAAAGAGAGTGGCTTCCATCCTAATAATAACAAAGTGCTGTACAAACTTCAAATTAATGATTTGTCTTGAATTCTTAAGAGAACTAGATTGCAAGACAAACACCTAACCTAAAATTTGGAGAGAAGCAGGTGCCTGAAGTAAGAACAGAACCTAAGTATTTATTTGCCTGGAGCAGTCAAAGGACACCATATGAGCTGGTAAGAAGATTCAACTAGAAATTTTTAATGAATTGCTAAGGGCCAGGTGTGGGCTACTGTGAGTGTGTGAAGCCCCTGGGGGCTGCAAACATGGGGTGGTTCACACCCTCTTGCAGGCTTTTCCTCCAGAAACCCCAGCAGGCAGGGAAGACCAGAAAGAATCCTAAGAAAACTTCCCCTGTTGTGCTGGCTGGGGAAGGGAACAGCAGCCAGTACTGAAACTCCTCCCTCAATGATATCCCCTACCTCCTCTAAGAACAAAACCTTAATCGGCAGGGAGAAAGATAACAAAAATAGTAACCTGAGGGTGTTGGTGGAAACACATCGCAGCTGTGAAGAGAAACAAGAAAAAAACAAACTACCTCTGAAGTTTGGGTAGGAAAACCATGTTAGCCTGGCACTACAGCTAGAGGAGGGGCAGAAACACTTGTGAGGGCCATACTCCCAGACCTAGGTTCACGGTGCTGGCCTAGGACTGAGGCTAAATCAGAACATCAGAGAACAGTTCCCCACCATGCCAAAAAGCCTCAAATGAAAATAACAGTTGAATACAGACACTGAGAAAAACTCTCTGCTGAATTATCCCACATCCAAAACACAAGGTATCACTAGAAGAATTTAAAGCCTGTGGTGCACTGAAGGAAACCATAGCAATAATAAGCTTCACACCCAGCCCAACTCCCTACTAGATTAGCACACCTCCACACACACCGAAGGCCCAACGGAAAGAAAGATGTACTCATCTCCAGGCATAAAATATACCTACCTCAGTATGTACTGTCCTGTACAACATGTCCAGATTTTGACAAAAAAGAAAATTACAAGGCATTCACAAAGGGAAGAAAAGACAGTCTGAAGAGACAGAGCAATCAACAGAACCAGACTTATAGGTGACTCAGCTGTTGGAATTATCAGACATGGAGGTTAAAGTAACTGTGATTAATATGTTAAAGGCTCTAGTGGAACAAGATCAGATAGGTAATTTTAGCACAGAGACGGAAACTATAAGAAATAACCAAAATGAAATACTAGTAATAAAAAATGTGCTAATATAAATGAAGAAAGCCTCATCAGTACAGGAAAGAATCAGTGAACTTGAGCATAGATCAGTAGAAATTACTCCAACTTAAATGCAAGGAGAATTTTAAAAGTGGAAACAAATTCAGAACTGAACACAACCCATCAATATGCTGTCCACAAGAGACACATCTTAGACACAAAAACATAAATATATTAAAAATCAAAGGATGGAAAAAATATATCAAGCAAACAATAACCAAAAAAGAGCAGGAGTGGCAATACTAATCTCAGATAAAATAGACTTTAAAACAAAATCTACCATAGAAGACAAGCAAGGACCTTATATAATGATTAAAGGGACAATCCACCAAGAAGACATAACCTTAATAAATACCTATGCACCCAAGGACAGGGCTCCAAAATACATAGAACAAACTCTAACAGCTCTGAAAAGAGAAATAGACAGTTCCACAATAACAGTAGGAGACTTCAACACACCACTCTCGGTAAAGAATAGAACATCTAGAAAGAAACTCAACAAAGATACAGAAGATCTAAAGGCCAAAATCAGCCAACTTGACCTCATAGACATATACAGAACACTCCATCCAACAGCAGGAAACTATACATTCTTTTCCAATGCACATAGAATATTCTCCAGAAGAGACCACATTTTAGGCCATGAAGCAATCCCTAATAAAATCCAAAACATCAAGATAATACAAAACATTCCCTCTGATCATAATGCCATAAAAGTAGAAATGAATAACATGATGAGCAAGAGGAAAAAAGAAAACAAATACACGGAATCTGAATAACACCTGTTTGAAAACAACTGGGTAATAGAAGAAATCAAAGAG